AAAACCACAATAAATAAATAAATAAATAAATAAATAAATAAATAAATAAATAAATAAATGTATGTATGTATGTAAAGTCACAAAAACTGGTTGTGATATGAAACTTTCCATATGAGCGTTCTAAAATCAAGATATAGCTAATTTTATTCATTATACATAATTTTTAGTTGGATGTTTTTTTAAATGAGTTTTTCTTTGAGAGAAAACCTAGAAAAACCTATATAAGAAAATCTGTAAGGGTTCATTAAATGGTAATTCCTAGCACTGCTTAAGACCACCTAAACTGCAATCTGTACAAGGCTTAAAAGGTATTTGTTTTTTAACAAGAAACATACGTAATTCTTTTATAACATAAATGCTTCCTAAGTATACTAAATCAGCATTTGAAATGGAACACAATTATTCCATGCTATGATTACAACATCTACTTCCTTTTCTGACACATGTGACTCTTTGGATTATTATCATTCATGAGACACTCAGTATAATGCGAGGAGGTAGGCCCATGATGGAAGATAGATCTATAGCATCTTCTACAAGGTTACATTATTCCTACTTCATTTCATTGTCAGCTTTTATCTTTTATATCATGTGTGTTACTACGTATGTGTGCATATACATGCATATGCACGTTCATGTAAATGCAGGTGTGCATGCACAGGTGTGAGAGCATGTACATGCACATGTATACGGAGGCCAGATGACCTGGGTTAGTCAATCCCAAAAAGTTACTTATCATGTCTGGACAACAATACTAGAAGAGAATGAACCATAGTGTCATTCCTCAAGAACCATCCACCTAGCCTGGATCAACCACCACATGGACCTTTTAAAATGTGGGTGCTGGAGATTCAAGTATTCTTGAAAGGAACTGATTGCCAGAATTATCTGTTCAATTTCTAAACCCACAAATGTAAAAAAAGAAAAGAAAAAAACACCAAAAAAACCCCAAAACACTCAAAAAACAAAGCAACAACAACAAAAACAAAACCACATTTAAAATATATTTAGGAAGTAGGAATAATACTGAATAAAACTGATTCACAAGAGAGGCATTAACTTATATTTACAAGTTAAAGTTGCACCTGTAAGTGTATTTGCTGGGAATAGTGGATCACATCTTCAATCTCAACACTCAGGAGGCAGAGGCACTTGGATCCCTGTGAGTTTAAGGCCAGCCTGGTCTACACAGTGAGTTCCAGGTCAGCCATAGCTACACAGTGAAATCTTGTCTTGAAGGAAAGAAAAAAGAAAAAAATATAAGTATACTAGTATCCTAATAAGATGACCTTTTTCCCTTGGATAGAATGGAACCACAACCAAAAAAAAAAAAAAAAAAACAGAGGTAAGAAAAGGCTTTGTTACTTATGTTTCTGTATTTTCCTTCTTGAAGACAGAGCTGGCCTGCAATTTGTGAAGTAAACATCTGCCCTTGAACTCAGAGATTTGCCTGCTTTTTTGCCAAGTCCCAGGATAAAAGATCCAGCTTTATTTCTAGATTTTTCCTGAGGTACATGTAATATCTATAAACTCAAAATTTAAAAAAAAATCATAAAATATGAATTATGTTGCTTTCATGAATGCTATGATATTCTAATATTTAAATGCTACATGATTACCTTTATTAATTTCCAATAAAAGTAATCATAAATATTTTTAAAAACGCTTTTAGGATAGAGGTCACCAATTTCTTCAAGTACAGAAATGTTCTGGTTAGTTTTTTGGAAACATGACACAAACTAGAGTCATCTAGGAAAAGGGCACCTCAATTGAGAAACGCCTCAGTTACACTGGACTGCAGGCAACTATGCAAAGCTTTTTTTTTTTTCTCTTTTTTCCTTTTCTTTCCTTTTCTTTTTTTTTTTTTTTTTTGATTAATGACTAATGTGGGAGTGGCTCATGTACTGGGGGTGCATCTTGTGCAAGGAGTCTTATGTTGTATATAAAGCCAGCTGAACAAGCCATTCAGTTCCTGCCTGCCTCCAGGCTCCCCTCCTTGAGCTCCTGCCCTGATATCACTTCATAATGGACTGGCTGTAAGCAGACAGAAAACCTTTCTTTCCTTTCTACACCACCATGGTCATAATGTTTTTATCACAGGAAAAGATAGTCAACTAGGCCAAGAAGATTATATAGTATGATACAATTTGTACACGTAATAGAGGGAAAATAAGAAGTCACATTTATCTGTTAACACACATGTGTGCGCGCGCACGCACATACACACAACACACACACACACACAAAGCCAACAACAATAAAACAAAGCTAGAGTACATAAAGTAACTAATAAGAAGTTAATTCTCTTTGGAGTGTCACCTTATAAATCAGACGGTGCGTCAGGCCACATCCCTCAGTTGCACCCCTGTGTAGGCTTTTTGAACCACATGATTACATTACTTAGTCAAACACTGAGTAAGAGTAACTAATGCACTCCTTTTCTCTCTCCAACTCTATCAAACACATAAAGTATCATAAGTCTCATTAAACATTACAAAGAAGGTGAAATCACTTGTACATCCCAGGAAGTCTTCCTACTGTCTTCAGCTGTCTTCCTTTCTCCACTCTTTTTTTTAGCTCAGTAAATTTGGTTAGGATTACTTTTATGAGTGAAGGGTTATTTACAGGAGTATGAGCAACCTGACCAGTAACTACATCACTGACAAAAATGTCTACCTTTCTCCATCTACTGCCGGTGAGTTCATTCTGTTTTTGTTTTTGAAAATGATGGTCAGTTTCTGAAATAGCAAGAATTCTTCCTGTAGTACCTCATTGCTACTTAATTCTTTTCTTTCATTCCTTTCCTTTTATATTCCATATTGCTGTTTTTCTTATCTTCTCCTGCCTTCCTGCCATTGGTAGTAGGAACAAGGAGATTACAGAACATTTTTACAAAGGCATAGCAGAGCATAATAAAAGCTAGTATTTGAAGGAGAGTGTTAACTAAACTTCATACTTGATACATACTTTGAAATTTTCTCCAAATCTAAACCAAAAACTTCCTACTCCAATAAAAACTTTATACTAATTTATGATTATACAAACTATTCTGTGTTTATCAAAACAATTATTTCATATGAAAAGCATGAACATTTGAAGTTTATGTCTGAATACTGACAATGTGTATAATTTATTTTCATTATCTAATGTGGAATACACATTTGCATATATATATATATATAAACTATAGAATTTTTAAGTTATAAAAAGATTGAATTCACACTAAAATGTTTTGCAAATCAGAATATGATTTAATCAATATTATATATTTAAATTCAGAATACAATAAACATATATTGTAAATATATGAACTAAGGAATTTTACTATCATATAAATCAAATTGAGCCAGGCAGTGGTGGCGCACGCCTTTAATCCCAGCACTTGGGAGGCAGAGGCAGGCAGATTTCTGAGTTTGAGAGTTCGAGGCCAGCCTGGTCTACAAAGTGAGTTCCAGGACAACCAGGACTACACAGAGAGACCCTGTCTTGAAAAACAAAAAAAAAAACAAAAAAAAACAAAAAACAAAAAAAAAAAGATTTTTGCCAGGCGGTGGTGGTGCACGCCTTTAATCCCAGCACTTGGGAGGCAGAGACAGGTGGATTTCTGAGTTTGAGGCCAGCCTGGTCTACAGAGTGAGTTCCAGGACAGCCAAGGCTACACAGAGAAACCCTGTCTCAAAAAACCAAAATAATAATAATGATAATAATAATAATAAAATAAATCATATTGAATATAAATTTTTACCTAAGCTCTATGGATACATCAGTATGAGAAGAGTTCATGCCTAACTTACTAAGTCAAACAATCATTTACTATAAATCAGTCATTAATATTTTTAGGGATTTTCAAACTTTCAAAATTAGATTTTGGAAAAGATTTACCGTCATGTGGTTTTTCAGAGGATCCAAAAGATTGAAGTGAATATTACACTTGGGACATGCTCTTGGAAAAGTTGTTCCATTCTTAGATTGATTTGATGAGCAATTTATACCTAAAATAAATTCAGATCAATTATGAAATAAAATGCATCACTTTTCAGGGGTTTTTATTTGTTGTTTTTTATAAATTATTTTTAATTATTATTGGGTGCACACACATGTAAGCATTTGTATTGGTACCCATGGGTGCCAGAGGAGAATGTCAGGTCCCCTGAGCTGGACTAACCTGGTGGTTGAGAGGCACTCCCTGTGGGTGATGGGAATCAAACACAGTTCTCTGAAAAAATTTTAAGTGTTCTTAACCAATAAGCCATCTCTCCAGTCGCCCGATTTAGCCCTTTTTAACTTAAATAATCACTATTATTTTCTTAATTTGTAACTATTTGCAAAACTTATCTATAAATACTACAGACATTTCTTTTCTGTAGGCCAGTGTTTTTACCTTGCGATGGCACCACTTGGAGAGACATCACTGATGGAGACTTTTCTGAAGAGACAACAGAAGAGGCATCTGTTCCAGAAATATTTTCACTGGGTTTAGGCTTTTTGGGGTTAACACTGCTTATGTCAGAATCAGAAGGTCGTTTTGATAAAAATGAAGTTTCATTCAAACCTAAAATGATTTAAGCAGTGGGGGAAAGATTTTAAAAAATTAAAAATTACTACTCATAAACAGTTAAGTCTAAATATGTGGTAACTAAAATATATGACATAATTGAACTATGCTATATCAATGATAAAAATTAAACAATATTGCTGGGCATGGTGGCACACATCATTAGTTCCAGTGTTCAGGAAGCAGAGACAGGTAGAGATCTTGAATCTAAGGCCAGCCTGGTCTACCTACCCAGTTCCAAGCCAGCAAGGAAAAGCTACATAGTAAGAATGTGTCTCAAACAAAGCTAAGCAATTAAATGTTACAAATTTAGAAAGTATGAGAAAATTGTATAAAAACTATTAAGGACTGCATTTAGTCAATCAATCTGTAAAATTATCTTTCTATGCAAGAAAATTCTCAGTATGGCTTGAAAAAAATAATAAAACTGAAGAAAGATATTCTGAAGTTTCTAAAAACCAATTATCTTCAGATGCTTAAATACATTGAAGTTTTAATGACACATATATGCACACATGCACAATAATTTGTCCCAAACACTTATAAATCCTTTAAATTTCTTTCTTTTTTTCTCCTTCAAGACAAGAGTTTCTCAGTGCAGCCGTGGATGTCCTGGAACTCTGTAGAATAGGCTGGCCATGAATTCAGAGATCTGCCTGCCTCTCTGCCTCTTGAGTGCTGGGATTAAAGGTGTGCATCACTATGCCTGGCTAAAACTACTTAAAATGCCTAAAGTGATGTTAGTCCTTTCTCATCTAACAATGTGATCTCTTCAAGGCTTGTAATACTACACACTTATTGCTATGTACCAAGTAGAACCTTCTATGCCTGAATAATATTTTACTCACTCAAATGAAAGGGAATATCAAAGAGGAAGTTGTGTCCCATTTTAGGGAATATATTAAGGAATGTCTGATAAAGAAACTCTTGCATTTGAGTTGTACAAAGAGACTTTATTCTTAAAAATAATTTTCCTTTTGAAAAAATCACCATAAAGGCTAACGGATTAAGCCTTAGAGTATCAACAATAAAAAAGGGACAATTCGACTGTAACTATGGCAAACAAAGTCTTTTTAAAAATAACACATAATGTACTTTGTAAAAAGGATTCGCAAACTACACATTAAATAGACCCATCTATACACCAGATGTAGAAGCATTATTAGAGAAATTCTAGGCATTTAAGTAAGATAGCCTAAGTTAAAATCCAGATTCTGTCGGTCTCTGTTTATGTATTTTTATTTAATTTGTACGAGCTTCAGTTTCTATTTCTGTAAAGTTATGGTATCTTATTTTACAGAGTTATTTTAAGGTCAAACAATGTATTGAAAGTACCTTAAAGTATTTGATACAAAGAAAACAATAATAAATAAGTTATTATTAATAACAAAACATTTTATACTTTAACTTGTTTTAAAGGCTAAAAATTACTCTAATAGATTTGCCTATTATTTTTTGCCAAGAAAGTAAAATTATACTAATTCACCATTTCATCTTTGAAGACAAAGAAATGATTTTTCCTTGTCTTCAAAACACTCGGTCAGAGACAGATACAATGCAGGTACATGAAAAAGATCTCTGGTAGTGCAATCTCATTAACACATGTTTATGTTATTTGGAAAACGAAAGGGTGATAGCATTTTGAATTAAGCAACCAATTATAAAATAGACTAGATGGCAAAAATAGACTTCTTTAATGTCAGAATTTAACATAAGAAATATCAACATTAAATAAAACCACTCTGCATTCTTTCCAATCTTTTTTACATTTATTTACTTATCTGTGTGCATATGAGTATGCACAATGGATGGTATTTGAGTGGAACTCAGAGAACTACTTGTAGGAGTCTGTTCTCTCCTCTCATTGTGTAGGCTCCAGGGTTCAAACTCGGGTTGTGAAACTTGGAAGCAAATCCTTTTACTGAATGAGCCATCTCAACTGGCTGTGCATGTATTTTAAATTCTGTCCCTTTATCTGTTTTGTTAGGCTTATGCTATTCTCTATTCCCAAACAGTCCTAGCTCTGCCAGTAAAAATCCTAATTTCTTTCAAGGTATAAATCAAAATCCCATAATCTCCATAGATAGTAATCTGTCAATCATGTTACTGAATGAACAGCACTGATTGACACTGATACCAAGTCCTTTGAACCTTATAAATGTATTTTCACATTTCACTTATCTTATTTGGGCATCAAAAAAGCCCTGTGTGAACTAGAGAGTCAAAGTGGTATCTTCAGGTGCCTTGCTCCAGGTGTGGAGAATTGAATAAATTACACACACACACACAAAAAAAAAATTAATAGCCCCATCTCTTAATAATATAAAAAAATAGAAAGTATGTAGAGGTCAGTTAAGCTGATAAAGACTAAACATTCTTAAGAGCAGAGGTTCAAACCTACAACTTCCTAGTTATCCCACTTAATGAAGTTTCACTCACTGTAGTAGAAAGCTGAGAGGGAGAATAGGAGTCTTTATTCTTTCTTCCCAGAAGTTTCAAGACTGCAGACTTTTCCTATGAGTAAAGTCTATGAGCTTCCTAATGCCAGATTTAATACAAATATTTTTTCTCCGTTTCTTTTCGCTTGTACCTATTTTATTAACAAGATATTAGTAAACATTTTAGTAAACTATGTATGTAAGTGACATTCAGAGACGTGTTTATCAAATAAGGTATTTGTAAAATGGAAAAGCACTTTAGGCCCTATAATAAAAAAAAAATGCAGGAGAGTCTGGTAAACACCTCATCAATCTATTTAGTAAATAATCTAAACATTCCAAATTTTCTTGTACATCTTAGTTAAGATACTTGAATATATAAAAATTGCTAGTGCTCAAAAATTAACTTTCCTTAATTACAAGGAATTTTCACTAAGACAAAATTCCTCCATGGTATGCTAATATATTTTAAATTAATGAAGAATACTTATCATATGAACTAATTGCATTAATTTTCTAAAGATCACTTTGTACTATTTCTAAATCATTAATACTTGACTATCTGTTTTGAGACACAGTCCTACTATATAGCATAAGATGGCCTTGAAATTATTACATGCTCCAGGTTAAAATCAAAGTGATAATTCTTCTGCCACAGCCTCTCAAATGCTGAGATTATAGGTGTACACTAACACATCCAAGAACCACTTCTTTAAATTATCCTTTATTTAAGAGAAGGAAGGAAAAGGGAAGGTTTGGTAGATACGCACATGCCACAACACACCTGTGGAGGTCAGAGGACAACTTTCTAGGAGTTGATTCTTTCTATGTGGGTCCCAGGGCTGGAACTCAGGCCATTATGCTTGGAACCAAGTGGCTTTGCCTGCTGAGTCATGTCACTAGTCTAACAAATATTTCTTTATTGTGGCCACTGTATAGCATCATAAAATCATACTTAACTATATACTGAAATCACTTACTGAACTAGAAAGACACTAACCTAATTAGGAATTCACCTTTTTTTATATGAGCGGCCATAGAAATTATGTATTCTTAACAATGTTTATAGTATCTAAAGCCTCCTCTAATTCACTGATGTTTTCAAGATTGGTTCCATAGGAGAAAGAGTACACGGTGGTTTAATGATGATTTTAAATAAAGCTGCCTCAAAAAAGACACTCAAAACTATTTACAGGAGTCCATGTTAAAATATACAAACACTTTAATACAAAGATGTGGATTTCAAAACAGAAACTTAATTCTGTATGATTTTCCATCATTTCTTTTTAACAATTTTAATGAAAAAAGTAATAAAACAAACCTGCAATAGAAAGTGTTGGTCCCCCCTGGTAATGTGATAATCCTGTATCTTGGGTCAAGTCAAACAGTAACTCTGAAGAGTTATTAGACAGAACTCGTGGTGAATTTGTTACATAACCCTGTTAAATTTGAAGAAATAATGTTACATTTATTGGACATAGGTATAACTACTGTTTTATACACATGTATAAGAGCAATTTGACAGTATTTCTGTATTATTAAGATAAACTTTTTTATGTTTGATGATTCAATTATCAACAAGTTAAAAACACAAAGGTAATTACTAGTTGGGCAAAATAATCATCTGTCAAAACTGAAAGCCAGCAAATAGGGCTTGTTTGTTCCTATCTGCCCAACTAAAACTGATCAACTAATGTGGACAGCAAATTTTAATCCAATGTTTTAAAAGTATAAGAAATGCAAATTTAATTTATATCTGTAAGATATAAATGTAAGACATGCTAAGAGGTTCTAAAATCACAGTATTATCATCAAGAAGCAAGTGAGAGAATCAGTAAAAACTCCACAATGAAAACACAGGGAAACAAACATACTCCCAGAAGGATTTCCTCAACAGTATTACTGTTGAGAGTGAATGTTTTTATATAAAATGAACTCCAAAATTACTTATAAGGAACAATCACTGTGCAAAGTAAGCTCTGAGTGATTTCTGAACCTTCAGCCTGTTAAAATGCATAATCCACAGATTTTTAAATTAAGCAGTGCTTAAAAATAAACTGATCCTCTCCTCCCCTCCAAAAACCAAACCAAAAAAACATGAAATTAAAAACAATCAAACAAACAAGCCAGGCACAGAAGTCTACATCTATGATCCTAACACTCAGGAGGTGGAGACAGGAAGATCTTCCTTAACTACATAGCAAGCTCAAGGCCTGCCTGAGCAACCCTTTCTCAAAAAAATGATATACTCCTTTTTTTCAACTTACTGGATACAAAGATACAAATAAAAATATTTAACAATTAAACAGGCATTGTTTAAAAATGATGCCTACTACTAATTAATTTACTCACAATGTTTAACTGCTCGAATCATGAATGATAGATATGTAACTGCAAAACTATGAAGAAGTTAAGAATAACTGCAAGGTGGAATCATAAAAAAGATTTTTTCTACTCAAATTCTAATGATGAATCTAAAGTTTGGTTAACACTGTTTGTTAAATAACTGGTAAGAGGCTAACATGAGGGAAGCCAGATGGGAAATATCAGAACTCTCTTTTCTATAACACTAGTATTACTTCCAATAAGGTTAAAAGAAGGATAACGTTCACTACTCACAACTAGTCACTAGGTTATATATTGGTATGACTTTGAATAAAAACTTTACCAGTAGCTATCAAAGTCTCTAAAAGGTCCTTTATTCTACTTTCAAGAATTTATGGTAAAGAAAGTTGAATGGAGAATTACTGATAACAGCCAAAAATTAAAACCTATTATTTTCAATAATAAAGAGTTAAACCCACAAGCTATCATATAATCATTACTACCAAGTTTTTGAAAAGTAGAAAATGTTCCTCAAAGGCTATTTAGTGAAAAAGTGTAAGGGCTGACCTGTACGATCTAATCTTCATGGCATGTACACTCATCTCTTTTTTTAAGCTCTTCTCAGATATGTTAATCATAGAAACATAAAGGTTTTGTTTTGTGCTTATAAATTAAAGTATAATTAAGAATTTCATTTTGTACTACCTTTACTGACAATGAGATTGTTATAAAGTCATAGGACCAACTTATAATCTTAAGCAACACTACACTTAAGACTTTGAGATGGACATGGGCATCTGAACCTTAAGACGTAAAAAACAAACAAACAAACAAACAAAATTAGTAGTTTCATAACCTAACAGTAACCAAGTACACTCTTCATTGAAATAAACACTTCCTCGAAATATCTGTACTTTTAAATACTCTTTAACAAAACTATAATAAAGTTAATCCTGTTAAGACACATCCCAAAAAGCCAACGTTAAGTACCCATAGTATTACAAAGGAACTCATTAGTCAACAAATAACTAGCTAAAAAGAATTTTCAAATAGAGAATTTTTGATCTTATGCAAGTTCAAAATAACTAAAAAATGAACTACCTGAAAACTGTTTGTTCAATGCAATAAGAGTAAAGTAGTCACTATAACAGAATTAGGATGACCTACATTTATTTAACCACTTAATCTTAGGCAAGTCACTTTTGAGCTTCAAGTCATTCACCTTTCAAACTAAAATAGCCACATTGTATGTATTAAATTTACTCGCTCTTCACAGTAAATGTGTATCAAATAATTATCACACTGGTATTAATAAAGACAATATTCCTTCCAGTTATATAGATTGGTAGGCTAAGGTTTATTACTGATAGTGTTGAAACTATAATCCAAGTCTAAATAATAACATAAAATTCATGCTCAGTGGCCATATATATTAACTTTATCAATGATATTAACAATAATATATTCAATCCCTGCCTGAAAAAGGTGTTGAGGTACAAAGATATTCCATAAAAAATTAAACACACATACTTTACTAAAACTAATTCAAATAATAATTTACTAAAACCAGTAGCCTTCAACATTCAGAGAGAAAGACTCGTAAATAAGACCATTTCTTCCAGAATAAAAGTCTGTGATTTTAGCTTTGACCACACAGATAAGTGAGATTTAAATATATGATCCCTAAGCTTGCATTCAAATAAACTGGCAAATCTGCTCTTCTCCAACAAGGTTCCCAGGATTACAAACCATCAATTGAGGTGTTTTTATGGTCACAGAAATAAATATTCTCATTGAAAAGATTTTATTCTCTAACTTTTATAAAAGCTAAAAGATCATCTCTTTGCTACTTTGTTCCTGAGACTGTGAGACTTGTCTAACTATATTAGTGAGCTTTCCCTCTCCAGTTCTCTTTCCTAAGTGCCAAACAACTACTGACAAGTATAAGAAAATAAAAAACATAACTGTAACATTAATTTTTTAAGAACATAAATAAAAGCCTTTGGAGTTCTACAGGACCCAAGAGACTGTTTTTTTGTCTAAACATGAACTATTTTAAGGAATATTTACTATTCACTAAATCAGTGCTCACCTAACTTTCCAGCTTCAAGATGATTTTACACCTTTTTTTTTTTTTTTTGGTTTGGTTTGGTTTTTTCGAGACAGGGTTTCTCTGTGTAGCCCTGGCTGTCCTGGAACTCACTCTGTAGACCAGGCTAGCCTTGAACTCTCGAACTCAGAAATCCGCCTGCCTCTGCCTCCCAAGTGGATTTTACACATTTAAAAATAACTAAACCCCAAAACACTTTTTACATTGGTTAAAATTTACCTGTTGAGATTTACCGAACTAGAAAATGAAGCAGAAAAATATTAAATATTAATATAAAACATATAATTTATATAATTTAATATTTAATATTAATAATTTATTTTTAAATTACATTAACCCTATTATGGATCAGCATGAAAGTAGTCTTATTTTGTATCTTTGCAACTTTTATTTTCATTCTGGGGGCCAGAGTCTTAGGTATCTCAAGTTAGCCTCAAACTCACCATTTGATCCTCCTGCTTGTATATCAACAAGCGTTGGGATTAGTTGTATGTGCCTGAACCCTGAAATCTGTGTAATAAGCAAGCTCTCTTCTCTAATAACTAAGCTAAATTCTCAAAAGAGAATAAGGACCATGACAATATGTAACTCAGAAAAGGAACATTTTAGCAGTATGAATAACCACTGTAGACATACTACTCTGATCTTACCAAAACTCATGAGCCAGTACTTTCTTAAAGGTGTATCACTATGAAATTTGAAACTTTTGATTTGTGAACTTTTCGTGCCCTGTCCCATTGAAATCATTAGCCCACAGTACACTATTTACTCACAGACATTTCAGTAACATATACTTTGGTTATTTGCAAACTATTGGTTTCACTGAACTATCTCAAATATTGAAAAATTCATAATACATCACCAAAAATTTGTTTATACTATCCATCAAGGAACCATGAAGCAACCAAGATCAAAAATGGCAGATTAAAGCTTTCCAAAATCTTGATTTTTGCTTATAGATCAAATTTTATCAATGGTAAGGAAGAACACTACTATCAGCTGTTTTCCATTAAATGATGAAGGGGTAGGTATACTTTGTTCGTTTTTGAGGAAATCTGTACCAAATCTGAGGACTGAATTACAGCATTCTAAAGTGGATTCCATGATAATCATCTTCTGATATTCATACTCTGTGTGATTCCCTTCCTTTTAATGTGGCTGACAGCTGAGTTGATTCTTAACAACATAACATGGTAAAGATGGCAAGGTATATCATTTTATGAACATGATTGTTTCCTAAAAATAATAAAATCAAACCTATCTTAGTGGTACACACCTTTACTACTAGCACTTGGGAGGTAGAGCCAGAGAGATCACTGAGTTCAAGGTGAGCCTGGACTACAAATCAAGTTCCAGGACAGCCCGAGCTTTTACAGAGAAACTGTCTTTCAATCATACATGTGTTCAATTAAAATGCAACAAGTATTTCAGCTTGCCAATCATGCTTTTCCTAAACACAATCAAGATATATCAGACACAGAAGTACTTTATATACACTATTTCACCACACAGAACATATAAGAAGATACACAGTCAAGGATATAGTTAACAAAATAACATTAATGGAAGTTTATGTTTAATACACTGCAAAACATCATTGAGTAACTGCCTATAACTGGAGTATTTCGTTGGGAGTACAAGGTTAAGTGGTTACTCTGCAAACTCTGGTACAGATGAGTGTTTGTCTTGATTCACAGAAAGCCATCAACAGCTTTATCAGCATTGTTTTTGTGTCATCAATGCAAAAGTCAAACAGCGAAAGAGAAAGTACTTTTCTTTCTTTCTTTCTTTCTTTTTTTTTTGGTTTTTCGACAGGGTTTCTCTGTACAGCCCTGGCTGTCCTGGAACTCACTCTGTAGACCAGGCTGGCCTCGAACTCAGAAATTCGCCCGTCTCTGCCTCTCAAGTGCTGGGATTAAAGGCGTGTGCCACCACTGCCCAGCAAGAAAGTATTTTCAATTATCTTCATAATGGTGTTGAATCCCAAACACACTACCCTGAGAATGCTAAGCTGGAGCAGTATTTCCATTTTTTAAATTAGACGCTCATATACAAGATACACGTGTGTGAATGTGTATGTATGTGTGTGTGTGTGTGTGTATAAACTATGGATTAGCCTACAATGAGATCTAAGACCCACCTAGCTATAGATCTGAATGAATTATTTAATCACTATAAACCTCAGTATTTATTCAACTATGAAATGGAAGAAGTAGCGATGCCTGCATCCTAGGTATATTTAAAAACTAAATGAGATTCATTTATGTAAAACATTTAGCACAAATATTTATGTCTATGACTAGCTTAAAAATTATAATTATTACCACTATCTATTACTTTTCACTAAAGATTTTTAAATAAAGTATGAAGGTACATTTCTCAGAATAAAATACTACTATCAAAACTTCTCAATAATTTCCAAATGAAAAAATACCTGGCCCTGTTTGAAAGCATAAACATTTTTCTATCATGTGATATTCATTATAATTCTTCTATTCACATTTTGACAGTATTAGTTTTCAAAGCTATACCTAATCAGTTTAAGCATATGCCCAACTTACTTAAGTGTGAGGTACTAATTAAGCTGTCATACAGATGCTAACCTTTTCTGATACCGATTATGCTACCAACTAGATGACTACTTGCTGATAAAATAGAATTTTAATTGGGTATTGTTAATATTCCCTGAGCTGACTATGTAGTTTCGAAAACACTTACAGGTTTAGAAAATGGCTGAACAATAACAGAGCTATCTGAAGATCTAGATTCAGGATGAAAATGTACTGGCAAGGCAGTCACAGGATTTGATGTTGAATTCAGGCAGCGTTGACTTGTAGGCTTGAATGAAGCAGTAAAACCTGTATTTTAAAATTACACAACACATTGAATGCATTCCTATATAATCAACTTTTTCAAATATTTTAGTTTACAATTCAAGTAGTATAGTAATATTATACCTCGATTAAGTATACCATTCTTTATTCCTCTTGAATGAGAGCTGGGGTTAACTCTGTTCAAAATATCTAAAAAAAAAAAAAAAGATACTTTAAATTTGAAATTTGTTTGAATGCAATATATACTGAGATATTAAAACTTATAAACTGAACATATTAGAAGGAACACTATCACTAATTAGAAAATAGTTTATGAACATTAACTGTTTTATAGAATAAGCACAATCTTTCTCATTGTAACTAAATGTCCAAAAACCAGAAGTATATTGATAAACCCAAGTGCATATAAGCAAAACCTTCTTCAAGGCGAAGAACTTTTGTTCCCATAGAATCTTCTAAAAACATATTTAAATCTGGTTGCATGGAGTTGAAGTTTACACCTTCCTTGGTATGGTGAAAGAACTGTATATATTTATTTGGGTTCTGACTTAAAATTAAACCATGACCCGGCCTCCATATTCTATTCATAGCTCTAAAAGCCCTAAAGTTGTATAAAGAAGACTCTCCACAGACTAGATAATTATCTCCATTCCAAGAAGGAAACTACGAGAAGTTATAGACTAAATTGAATCTAAGTTTTACCTGACTATCTTACACATTAAGAGGATTTTGATCTACCACATAAGAAGTCAAGACTGGTGTGACCTGGAAGGATTGGTTTGAAGTTCTTACTCGTACATACACATGAATATGTGAAGTTGTTAACATCTAGCTTACTCAATAATCAAACTAAAATCTGCAAAAAGGAAGAGTTGCTGAAATTTGCTTATTCAGTTAAAAGATGCACTGAAATTCATATACAAAAAAATTCATTTTTCTTCATAGCTGAAAAGAACTAAATGCCACTATATAATTGCATAAAGGTACACATAATGGTTATTTTTCAGAGCCAGAGAGATGACTCAGTAGTTAAGCATATTTATTCTTACAGAGGACACAGTTCAATTCCTATCACTCATAATGTCTCACAGCCACCTGTAAAGTCAGTTTGAGGGGATATAATACCGTCCCTCTTCTGGTCTCAGTGAGCATTAGGAACAAATTGGATAAATACATATGTGCAGGCAAATACTTATACACCTAACTAAAAATATATTTTATAGTTAAAAATTTTCAGTGCTTACAAATCAAGTACATCAGGTTTATTAAAAAAAAAAAAGAAGAAGAAGCAGCAGCAGCAACTCAACTTGATACTACTTTCACTCAGAAAACCAAAATTAATATTCAAGCTATCAAGTAACTATTGGTATACTACTTTAGTAGTTGTGATCTACAAAAGACAAGTTCTTAAACATTTAATTCACATTTCCTATGTTGAAATTCCTTATGGCCTCCATATAAAACAGTAACACAATTATTTCAAATTTTCATCTTCATAATTCAGAAAAACATCTGGGGTCAATCTCTTTCTCACAGAATTATTTAAAAACAAATATAGATTGTTATAATTGAGTACAATTAAGAGTCATCTATAATCAATATAAATTCAACTTGAATCTTGTCATATTTTCAACAAGAGATATTAAATAATTTTGCAATATAATAACATTTAAGTGTCAGATAATCAATACCCAGGAAATGAGAAAGAAAAAAAAATCAGGCCATTCTGGCATTAGCAATATGCACACTATCATATTAAACTCATTTTATAATCCAAATAACATCCCACTTAGCATTCCATCGGAAATTACCTATCTACCACAGAAAATAATAATGACAATGCACTTGGTTAAATTGTTCTCTCTATATAAAACTATATATAAATGCCATTCCAAGCCTACAGGAAAGAAAAGCAAGAAATTCCAGAAATTTCATAGTACTCTCCAGTTAACCAAGGTAAATAAGAAATACTAATAACCTAAACATATTACCATTCTTTGATAAATTCTTCTGGCTTAAAACAAACATGCAATTAAAATGGGAAAAAATATTTTTATCTTTGAGATTTGAAAACTTTGTATTTTTTTTTTTCCACTGAGATCAGATCTCACCATATAGCCTAGGCTGGCCTGAGACCCACAGAAATTCACTTGCCTCTGTCTCGCCAGTGTCTCCTTAGTACTGTAATTAAAAGTGTGTGCTACCACACCTGGCTCCAACTGAAATATTTTTGAGTAGACAGCTTACTGTGTATCAGTTTTCTTACCTTAACACTGTAGCAATGTTAAGTCCAAGCACTCTAACTGAAAGCTAATCATCCAAAGACTCTTCTACTAAAACTCCTGAGATGTGAGTGTGCTAACTGCAACATAGTAAAAATACAATGGCTAGAGGCAACACCTCTCTTTAGCACAAATTTAACTAGCTGCTGAAAGACAGCTGTGGTCAGGTTATGACCCATTATCACTCTGTATGCATTTTGTAGTCCTGTGTAGACGACACTACAATGGGGCCTGCACATGAAATTTCATCTGAGACTAACGAATTTTTTAGTATATCCCCAAACTTAAAACTAAGCATTCTAAATTTTTCCTTTAAGCTATTCTAGGTTTAAGAGAGAAAAAAGAAAATAAAATCAGATAACCTCATTTTTCAGTACCACTAAAATTATAATTTCTACTCTCAGAAGACCTCCAATGCCACCAGCAAATCATGGGCTCTGCTGGAATTTGGCTTCTATCCTTTCTTAAAACTTCACTCGGGGTCGACTCTGACTCTCAAACAAGTATTTTATTCCTAACTTCTTATGGTAGAATAAGAACATTTTCACAACAATCCTATAACTAAAAATAACTTTTTCAAACTGCCTACTTTCAAAGTAAATGCTTACTTGAAATAGCTGGTTTTGAACTTGCTATCTCCGCAACAAAGATGGGCTCATCATCATCATCCTCTTCAACTTCTTTCACTTTCTTCTGCCATGGCTCTAGCTCCTCTTCTTCACATTCCATAAACAGTTCTGCCATTTTTAAATTATCTAATTTTTAAAAGAAGCAACTGTCTTTTAATTAAAGTATTTGCTATATGCAGCATATTAGAAATCTACTTTAATAATCCTAGTAACAATTTCTAACTTAGTGGTTGTGATAAGTACATAATAGTAACAATAAGAAATTAGACATCTTGCTCTCTAAGTCAGTAACTAGTAGACTTGAGACAGATAATGGTTATTTAGAGCAGATAAAAAAAAAAATGCAGTCAAAATGAATTTCAGCCATACATTTAGAACAATTAACTCTGAAAAAAGGTATTATATCCTATCAATTGTCTTTTAAAAGGGGGAGGAATAAGACTAAGAAGCCACAGATGAAGAAACAAATTAGAGTAAACCAGTCTTAGATATGGAAAATGCAGAGTAAAAAGAAAAGAAAAAAAGAGGGGGGCTGCGATTTGGTATGAAAGGAAAATATAAGAAAGGAGTGAGGCTTATCTCAAATAGAGCTAATTACACATTTCTCCCTAAAGAAATCCATCAAAACAATGCATGCAGTAAAAACTACTGAGAAATTCCAATCAGGTAGCATCACTCTCTTAAATGAAGATGAAACAATCAATAAACACCAGGAATTTTACAAAGAAAAATGTTCTATATAAAAGATCAAAGGATAGTAAAACAAATTAAAAGGATTCTAAGAGGTAGAGTAGAGAAAAGAAACTGGTATATTTAGGCATCAAACAAAGAATTAATGTCTGAACAGGATAAAACTGAAATGGCTACGCGAGATAAAGGCATTTGCTGCTGAGTCTAATGATTGGAGTTCAATCCTCAAGACTCACTTGGTGGAAATGAACCAGCTCCCACAAACTATCCTCTGACCTCCCTCCCCATATACTTTGGCATATATGTATATGTACATGTACACACACACACACAGAGAGAGAGAGAGAGAGAGAGAGAGAGAGAGAGAGAGAGAGGATAATGGACAAAGAGTAACACATAAGGTGCACAGGCCATGGCATTCAATACAAAACAAAGTCCCAGAAGAGAGTAAGTCAGTAGATCTAGAGAATAACTAAGTGGGATGGATGCAGGATAGTAACATGTTAGGAGGACTTCTCTAAGAAACCAAAGAAAGGATTTAAAAATTAACTTTAAGATCACCTCACAAGCCCAGCAGTGGTGGTAATGGTGGTTGGTGGTGCATTCCTTTAATCTCAGCAATGGGGAGAGAGTTAGGCGGAACCCTGAGTTCAAGGTCCTGGTCTACTGTGTGAGTTCTAGGATGGCCAGGGCTATACAGAGAAAACCTGTCTTGAAGAAGAAAAGAAAAAAACAAAACAAAACAAAAAAAAACCAAGAAATTATCTGAGGTTCTATTTTAAACAATATCTTTATAATTTCTAAGTATTATTTCCTACTATACTAAAAAGTGCCATTTCTACTTTTGACTCAAAACTGGACAACATTCTACCAAGTTCTTAATAATAATGGCCATAATCAGTCACAAATTTAATATGACCATTTATAAGAAGCCCAGAGCTTTTATCTCACAACCCACAGAAGACATTAAGCCTAGCTTACTACTTTGGTCATAACTTTCTTCTTTTTTTGTTTTTGTTTTTTTTTGTTTTTTCGAGACAGGGTTTCTCTGTGTAGCCCTGGAACTCACTCTGTAGACCAGGCTGGCCTCGAACTTAGAAATCCGCCTGCCTCTGCCTCCCAAGTGCTGGGATTAAAGGCGTGTGCCACCACTGCCTGGCCTTGATCCTAACTTTCTAGACTCAAGAATTGTCCAAAAATAAATTTCTACCAAATTAAACCACCTAGTCCATGATAATTTGTTATGACAACCCGAGTAAACTAATATAGTATACAGCACACACACACACACACACACACACACACACACACACACGCTAAGACTCTGCCATTGTTAATATATGAAAGACTGTTAAGAAAAAGCTATAATTCTTTTATAATTTTTAATAAATGGTTGCACAAGCATAGAAGAAATCTTTATGATAATGCATGCCAAACTGATAAAATATTAACATAAACAGTAGCTATTTCTGTTAACAGAGATAAAATACTTCATTTCTACTTGTCAGTTCATTTGTTACTTCAACAGTTCTGAGGTTTTAAGATGTTCCCCATCTCTCATACTGTATCATAAAGTGTAATACACCACTTGCACACGAGTATCAGTTACTGGAGCAACACTTACCTTTTGGTTGAAAGGACCTGTCTCCCATCAAGTTGCAGATATGACTTTCTATATGTTGTCACCTAAGAATTGACATATGACATCAGTCAATTTTGAGTAATTTTAACTACAAATAAACCTGAAATTAAGAAACTCTTGGCGGGCAGTGGTGGTGCACACCTTTAATCCCAGCACTTGGGAGGCAGAGGCAGGCGGATTTCTGAGTTCGAGGCCAGCCTGGACTACAAAGTGAGTTCCAGGACAGCCAGGGCTACACAGAGAAACCCTGTCTCGAAAAATCAAAGGAAAAAAAAAGAGAGAGAGAGAAAAGAAAAAAAGAAGAAACTACTGATAGAGGAGTTGGGGAGATAACACAATGGTAAGAACATTTGTTGAGCAAACAAGAAGACCTCAGTTTGAATCCCCAACACATACATAAAGAGCCAGGCTTGGGAGCATGTGGCCTGTAACCTCAGTGTTGTAGGGACAAAGACAGGTACATATCCCAGGAGCTTGCTAGCTAGGCACTCTAGCCAAAACAGTGAGCTTCAGGCTCAGTGAAACGCAGTATGTATGAAGGGAATAAAGCAAAGTGACAGGACAGGAAACCCAATGTCTTTCTCTGATACCTGCTCAAACACAGAGATGCTTGTACTCACAAACTGAAAACAAATACATAAAAGAACAAATTCTTGGATCAAATTTAAATATTTAAACTTACCATGTGACTACAAAAAGCAGCAAGTTGTATCTCAGTTTGCCTTTCTAGAAAATAAAGATATTATATTAATGTATGTACATTTAATTTACCCTTTTTATAGAAATTTGTTGGTAATTTTGTTATACACATAATTCATTTAAAATAATTGGTTCTTTCCTTAAGCATTCCAAATATCAGAAACAAAATAGTGATATATCAAGTATTTCCTATTTCAGTATTGACAAGTAAGTAAATTAAAAATAATTATTTGTGACAAACATGTGAAACGTATCTATAATCCAGGTTCTTGGGAGGCTGAGGCAAGAGGATCACAGGCTTAATACCTAGACTACACAGTGAGAAACTGTCGTAAATGAACAACCCACATATATGTAAATAACATATATTAATATATGTGTAAATAACAGCAAAAAGGAATTTCCACATAATGTACTGCTTTAGTAAATGTCACTGCCCAAATGCTAAATGACACTAATGTTACCTATCCATACTCAAAAATATAATTATTTCTATAATAAAACACAACTTTGACTTTATCAACTAACAAAAAAGAAAGCTCATGAGATTAATTCATTCAAGATAATAAGTATCCCTAGTCAGCTAAGTGGAAGGTAATATGTTAAGTTTTAGGTGAAAATAAAGATATGTAAATATGTAATTAACCACATTTAACTCATTGTTCTTCAAGAAAAAAGTTACAATAAACATTACCAAAAAATTCACAATTGGCCAGACATGATGGCACATGCTTGAAATCCTAGCATTTAGGGGCTGAGGTAAAAAGAATATCAAGTTCGAGGGCACACTGGGCTACATAGTAAATTACAACTGGCTTTGGAGCAAGCCTGAAGACTTGAACTTGATTCCTGGAACTCACATAATCAAAACAAAACAACAGCAACAAAACCAAAACAAAAAACCAACTCACTCATGCAAGTTCTCCTGCTATCTCCACTACACATGTGCACAGGCATACACACACATAATAAATAAATAAAATGTAAAGAAAGTTAAGACTTCAAAATATAACCTAACCTTTTGTATATTAAAATATTATAAATTTATTTTATTAAATGTCTTAGCTTTTACATAAATAAGATTAAACTATGCCTTAAAAGGTCTGGGGTTTTTCTTTTGTTTTGTTTTTTATTAGAAACTAATGGAAGCCTGGTCTACAAAGTGAGTTCCAGGACAGGCAGGGCTATACAGAGAAACAAAAAACAAAAAAACAAACAAAAAGAAAGAAAGAAAGAAAGAAAGAAAGAAAGAAAGAAAGAAAGAAAGGAAGGAAGGAAGGAAGGAAGGAAGGAAGGAAGAAAGAAAGGAAGAAAGAAAGGGAAATTTTAAATACATGTAATCTCTTATTAATGTTTGGCAATTCTGAAGTTCTAGAGAGATAGCTTAGGGGTAGAATGTTGGCCTACTACTCGAGAGGCCCTGGATTCAATTCCTAATACAAAATACAACAGAAACAAACAAACAAAAAAACAAAACAAAAAACCCAAATCTCTTTACTATGAAAAACTGCCCAAAAAATGAGTTATGAAAAGCTGTGTTTATTGTAGCTGAGAGGGAAGCTTAAGGAAAAAGTACATGCTTAGCATATTCAAGACCTTGTGTTGGATTTCCTGCATCCTCCTTTCCTCTCAGTTTTTAATAATAAGGTAAGCCTTGAAGTCACTACATATCATTATAGTTTCACCACCAAGATGCCTCAGTGAGTAGAGTACTATGTATGCTGTATAATCCTGGCAACCAGACTTAAAACTGAAGAACTCAATCAAGGTAGAGACAATTAACTCCAGAAAGTTGTCCTCTGATCTCTACATGCATGCTACGTCATGAATACACACACCATACACACAAACACATTAATAACAAAGTAAAAAATATCAGTTTTCATTTTTTAAGTAAACCAAAACCAACAAATATCATTTTTTTAAAAAATTATATATTTTGAGATCTTAGCAGTAACAAGCAAACAGACGAGAGGAAAAGTTGGGACTCAGCCTTGACAGAATATATAGACATACAATTATGTACTATACATAATACTTGACAATGACAATAAACAACTATGTTACTGGTTTGTACATTAATATGTGAGTTAAGTTATTAGTTTAGAATCCTCTACTTTAAAAACTTGCTATGCATGAAACATGTTAGGCCACCAGCAGCCATATACATCCCGTGTTAACCAAATCTTTTGCCTGCATGGAGAAGTCACACCAAATGACTGATCCAATAGTGATAAAACCATCTAGACAAAAATTTCTCAGGATGATAACACAGTCATTGTACTTTCAATTTTGTGAGAAATGAGAGGGTAGCTCAAGTGTGACTGAGACAATTATAAATCAGGTATGGCAGTACACACCTATAATCGAATTATTTGAAAGGTTGAGGAAGAGGGATTTTAAAATCAATGCCAAACCTGGGCTACAGAAGGCCCTGTCTCAAAAACAAACCATTATCTTCTTTAAGTACACAATTTAAACCTTAATGTCAAGTTTCAGCACAACTACTTCCATTCATTATATTTTACTACAGATTTTATAATACACAATTATAGTTGTCCTAATTAAAACATTATTTCGCCAAGCAGCAGTAGTCAAGGCTTTTAATCACAGAACTCAAGAGGCAAAGCCAGATGGAGTTTTTTTGAGTTCCAGGGCTGTTACACAGAGAAACTCTCTTAAAACAAAAAGCAGACAAATAAATAAACCAAAATCTCATTATTTCATTTAATGCTCAAAGCATACTGTCATGAAAAGTGAGTTACAGAGACAGGTAAATACCTACTCTAAAGTAACACAACTAAGTGACTGGGCAAAATTCAGGGTTGGGGATATTACTTGGTAGTGAAGGTATGTGTCTTGCAATTGGGTAGACCTGAGTTACAATCCCCAAAGCCCATACCAATAACTTCTGAGTAAACTGACTATGGAGTACTATACAAGGTACTTTCAGTGAACTTTTGGTTTGGTTGGGAGACCCTGCCTCAGAAATAAGGTAGACGAGCAATCTAGAAGATTCTCAACATCAAACTCAGGCCTACACACACATTTTGAGTACACATAAAACCTCAGATATACATATAAAAAATAAAAAGAAGTAACATTCAAACCGACTCATTTCAAAAGCCAACACTATTTCAATATTCACCAGGCATAAAAGACCAAAATTACAGGGAAGAAGCAGATTTTACCTAATGTAACAATTAAAAGATCTAAAAAAAAAAAAAATTGTAAAGAACATACATCATCAAATTGAAAAAAAAAAACAGGAATATTTCAACCATCATTAAGTATGGAACTGAAATTGTCACTTTCAAGATTCCCTCAAGAACCATGCCAATGACTAAACTAAACTGACAGATGAGGAAGAACCTTTCATTTGTTCACTTTTTTTAATGCCATACTTAGGACTTAAACATTTTAGTTATCAAGCTAGTACAAACTTTTTTTCTAGAAGATTTCAGGTACATTATAACGAATGAAGAAGTTAGGCTGAAGTCCAACACTATACCTAAGTCTATTCAAAATAAGTAAATTCTTGGTGTGGAAGAAAAAGAACTAATTCATTCAAAATAAGTAAATTTTTGGTAGGGAAGAAATAATTCATAATCTTAAGTAACCAATACAAATTTCACTTTAGCAAAGCTGTATTATGGTTTAAATTAGAACTTGAAAAGATATAGAGGCAAGCCAGAGGATTCCTCCATAGAGCATGTGGCTAGGGCTAACACTTAGTTGAAAACTGTTCAGAATGTTAGCCTCCTAAGTCTTGTTGCAAGTACCACTTTGGGGTACTGAGTAAAACTGTTAGCTGTTAAGCCCTTAGAATGACAACCATAAGAGCCTTCATTTTTCTCTACTGCCAGCCAAGCAGCTTCTTTTTGTTATTGTTAACTGCAAAGACTGTTCCAAGAGCTGTGAACTTTTATGAACTTGAATCTCTTTAAAGAAACTATGAGGGTGGGGGGTGTTCTGGGAGGAGAAGAGGGAGAGAAAACTGCAGTCTGGATGTAAAATAAATAAAATTTGTGAAAAGAGAAGAAAAACTACTCTAGCAGCAATAACCAAGGTTTCAATGCTGCTGAAGCCACATCGACTTCATGTCATGACTTGTTCCAGTCATAACTACCCAGGTAATCTGCACTCGATTTAGAACTTTCCATTCAGAAAAGAGAAACCTCAATGAGAACATTCTGCAGTTATTCTAACTTGGGATGGGAAACGAACTACTCCCGTGATTCAATAAAAAGCCTATCATTGGTGCAACATGAGGCTTGCAACATGAGGCTTGTGCCTGGTGAAACTAGCATCCATACATAAGCAAGACTGTATTTGGTAAAACTACAATCTGGGATTGTTCCAGAGTCAATACTATGAGCCACAATTTTCAAGCCTTCTTGCCTACCAATGCCGGACTTCCTCCAAGAGGAGTACGGGGTGACTGAGCTGGGGGAACCCAACAACTCAGCTGTTGTGAGGACCACCGTGATCAACATGCCCAGAGAGGTTTCTGTGCCTGACCATGTGGTCTGGTCCCTGTTCAATACACTTTTCTTCAATGCCTGCTGCCTGGGCTTCATTGCCTATGCCTACTCTGTGAAGTCCAGGGACTGGAAGATGGTGGGTGATGTGATTGGAGCCCAGGCCTACGCCTCCACTGTCAAGTGCCTGAACATCAGCTCCCTGATCTTCAGTGTCCTCATGGTCATTATCTGCATCATTATTTTCTCTACAACCTCTGCGGTAGTCTTTCAGTCGTTTTCACAGAGTGCCACATTCTGGATTCTAGCTGCCCCAAGTTCCACGGTCCACATCTGGCCCTCTTCCCAGGCTGAGGCCCTGACCCTTTACCCTATGTGTATGCAAATGTTACCTTCACTTGTCTGTCCACAGTGGATTCAATAAAGTACACTTGGTGGAAACTCTGAAAAAAACAAAAAACAAACAAACAAAAAACTACAATCTGAGCAGAAGCATGCTATACCCACTTTGTAACTATATAAGCAGGCTATGTCTTAGTTCAACATGCTGATCTGGAAGATGTACTTTGCCTTCTATGTACTTTGCCTAACCTACTGTAACATTTGACCCAATGTTTTTGTCTTTTCTTTTTAATAATCTACTTTATCAAGAGTAGATCAAGCTGGGTTAGTAACACTATGAACAGAAAGAACTCCAGGCTTCTAGTTCCACACAGTTGGGACATCAAAAGCAACAGCTAGAAGGTAACAGGAAAGTTTGTTCACTCTGTAGTTAGGTGGTATCTGAAGAGTTCCAAATAGTGGCCAAGTACAGAGATCGAGGAAACAAAAGGGACGGAAGGAGCACTGAGAGGGTAAGTGATGGGCAGCAACGAGCCAAGATAGAAGGCAATCTTAGTAGCTGCAAGAGTTCCACAAAGCTGTCAAGGGCTAAGGTTCAGCCAGGTGTGATAGATAGCACATGCCTTTTATTCCAGCACAGAGGCAGGCGGAACTCTAAGATTGAGACCAGCTTGGTCTACAGAGTGAGCTCCAGGTCTGCCAGGGTTACACAGGGAAAACCTATCTCAAAAAACAAATCAAACAAACAAACAAAAAAAAAAACTACAGAAGAACTTTTCCACAACAGAATGAGAAAAAAAAAATCCCTTTGTATCACCTACCTCAACAAATAAACCTTACAAACTTCATCTAGGCTCCACGCTCTTTGCTCTTTTTTGCTACTCACTTATTAGCCAAATTGAGCTAAACATAGCAGCCCAGATACAACCTAACTTGTAACCTAACTTGTCTCTTGACTACTTTGTGGGGTTTTTTTCCACCCTTCACCCTTTTTCCTTCACCCTTTCAACACCCTAATACTAAATAGGAGAGAAAAAAAAAGGATAGAGGGGAAAGGGGGAGACATTATTGTTGGACTACTTCCTGCTGATTAGGAAAATTCCTTGGGGCAAGTTTGATCTTCACCATCAGGAAATCTAGTTTCTTCTTCTTGTTTCTTTTGCATGATTACTTAACAAATCATGACCAGCAGCAACCAAACACCAACCAACCAACCACTTATCAACAATCCCTGGGACCCTAGCATTTATATACCCTCTGAAAAGTCCCCAGAATTCCCAGTGTCACACAACTGCAGAAACTATCTGTTGTTGGCAAATCATGGTCCTGCTAGAGCATGAAGCAGTTGTGAACAATCTACAGCAGCCCTGTATCCCACACCTGGGATTAAAACAAAAACATATTTAATTATTTCTGTGTTTTTCAAAGAAACCAAAATTCCCACTATACTATTCTGCTTAAAGTATTCACCTGAAAATTCCCAAAACTCTAACAGCCCAACTGTTGAGGTTCAGGGACACAAACCACACATATACCAATCTCAGTTAAGAAAGAATTGAATGTCCAGGACTGCAGAAAGGACTCAGGAGTCTAACTATGGTACTTGTCTGCTCTCACAGTAGACTTTTTATAGAAAAAAAAGAGGTTCAAAAGTTTAAAGGGCAAGGAGGGGAAAAGATGGTTTACTAGGCAAAGTATTATCAGCTAACCTTTAAGCTTATTGATCCTGAGTAAGGTGGGGGGGGGTAGAGATGGATGGATGGTGAACAGAGGAATTCAGAACAT